TTTATCAACTTTAGTTGGCACTTTATTGGGCTTCTATAATTATCACGATGACCCAACTAAATACTTGGTAGCCCATTCTCATTATTAGGGACCCGATAAATAATTTAATTAATCACGCATTAATTAAATATACCAATTCCGTTACATGATTTTATTCGCTAGGAAATTCCAATACATACGGAGTATCAAATTTCAAATCCAAGTACATCCGGGTGCGGTGTCACACATGTGGTAGTGAACTTACCTGTAGAAGCTGAACTCAAATTACTCAATTAAGTGCGGCACCTTGATAACGTCTCCCGGTAAGCTCTTCTTTAAAAATCTTAATTTAAATGTACGTAATGCAAATTAAAATTTCAGTTTTAATCATTACCCTAACAACAAAAATTTATGAACATAACAGTGATAATGAGTCTAGTGGCTGGGATCTACACTTCGAGCGAAAACAATAACTCTACTCTAGAGTTATTGCTCAAAAATATTCTGAAACTAAACTTTAGGTATACAAACTGAAATGCTATTGTAAAACTTTTCACAACGAAAGAACCCCACTGTCATCCTTCAATATAGAATCCCAACAAAGAAGTGTATCCTGAAAATAACTTACGAATAAAAACCCACCAGAAGCTTGAGGCTTTGGTGGGTTATCCGTTATATAGAGGAGGGAGTTTTTCACTTTTTTCTTATTTGCATTTGTTTTTCATTAATGCATAGAATTAATGTACTAAAAATGAGTTAAAAGTCCATAAGAATCCATGATTTTAGAAGTCAATAAAAATGAACGGGACTTTGAATACGGCTAGACTTTTATAGATCAACTTTTAGAAGTCTACATTGAATACACCTAGACTTTTGTAGACTTTAAAAAGTCTACATTGAATACACATAAACTTTAAAAATTCATGGACTTTTAAAATTTTGTCACTAATTCCTATTACAATACACCCCCTTTACTTAGGTAATCTCATACTTAACCCAAGAGTTACAAGATATCAAGCCGTCCACTCACCTTGAATGAGCTTTAAGAAGTCCTACCCCTCTCGGTTGAACTCCGCGGGCGAAACTCCGGCGAGATTTGAAGAACATCGGCGATAACTCCGACGACTCTTTCAACTCCATGAAAGCTCTAGGAACACCTTAGACAAGTTCCTAACAGGGCTTCATCATCAAAAAACCCATATCAACACAAATAACCTCTAAAAGGTTATTTCCGGTGAACCGATCACTTTGGCTTCTAAGTTTGTTCTTGGACTTAAAAGTTAAAACTACCTTCCAACCCCTCATTCTAAACTTCTAAACATGTATAACAATCCTAGGATCTCCTCATATGATCCTCAACCAATATGACATTCAAGAAAAAGAGAAGAAAAGGTTAATGAAATCATTACCTTAATATCTCAAGCTTTTCTACACATTTAGCCACTTAAACTCATTCCTTGAACTCCCTCCTTGCTTGACTTGTTGTTAGATATGGAGGAAATGTTTTGCAGAGGTTCTCTACCCTCTTTGTGATGCTTGGTCGAAATGTGAGGAGTGGGTGAGTGAAGAGATAGTCGTTTTGGCTTTTCTCTCAAAATAATGTGGGAATAGGCTCCATTGTACATTTGATTGACTCCTCCCATCTCCTCATCTCAAAACCTCAATAAGTCACCTAGCCACCTATGGTTGAACTTTGAGAGGTGCAAATTCGTGGGGTGGCCCCCACCCATGTGGGAGGTCATCCCTTTGTGTCCAAATGTGTACATTCGGCCCCGAAAATTGTATTTCTCAGACTGCTTTATTCATATTTTATTTTGTCAGGCCAAATAAAAATATATCGTCCTCCCAATTATTATGGGCCTCTAGAATGAATATGTATTCCCCAACTTTAATTTAGAAGTTCCCGTAATTTATTACTGGTTGTTATCTGATGAAATACCGATAATGATATTTAGGCCCTGTTTGAGCAACTGGTCAACCCTATGCCTTTTCTATGATCCAACTAGAATATCCACCACCATATACATATCATCTAGACCAATATGAATATAATATGTGGTCCCGTTAATATTGAGTGCTCCCCGCCCCGATGTGGGTCCCACGTGAAGTTTGCTATTCACGCAAAAGTAATAACAAAAATTTACAACCTCATAAATTCATTAACCATTTCTCAAGGTTCAAGACATAATTTGCACAAAAGTAAATATACTTGGGGACAGTGTTACACTGCGTGTATATACTCTATCAAGAGTCCCCCACTCCTTGAGACGTGAGTACTCGAGACGAAAGAGAGTAGAACTATGTGCTGATCTTTCATGTGATACTGCGATCGATGCTAGTGGTGATCCTTATAAATTTTTTAATTTTGTGCTTCTTCGATTAATGAAGACGCACTAAGTCCGCAGTTTTTCCAAACCCCACTCCTTGAGGAGAGTGTAGAGAGGTGAAAAGGAGTAAAGTAGTGCATATTATGTGATGACTCCTGTAAGGCCCGAGGGTCGACACCTTTTGTCTACAGTGGAGAGATGCCTCGTTATAAACCTCACTAGGAAAAAACCGTGTGGGAAAAAATCTTAATGAGGGAAAAAGAGTATACCGGATGTCCCAAAAATGAAGCAAAAGGGGTGAGCCCTCATGTCGATGCGTGCAGCTGCAACGGTCGCCATCTACCGAGGGGGTGGTTGAGACCGGTCATCATATGTGAGTAGCTAGACATGATATGTAGTTCTAGTCATCAAATAAAGACGACCACGAGACAGGTCGACGAGCGTCCATAATGTGATGTCCGGGTCATCAAATAAAGATGACTGGAGACATATGACTAAGGGATTTGTATGGGATTTACATCACCAAATAAAGATGACTGAGAGGTATATGGTCGAGGGGCTTGTATGATCTACGTCATCAAATAAAGATGACTGGGCGGTATATGGCCAAGGGGCCGATATGATGCCGTCATTTAGTTGCACTTAAGCATTCAAATAAAATTGTTGTAAATTCTTGAGCTTATAGTTCGCTTTTGGCTTCGGGCTTAAGTTAAGTCGTCGCAAATTTTCAAACTAAAGCTCAAGCTACAATTCTATGCTTAGTATGTAGTTCGAATTAAATGTTGACTCAAATAAGATGGCTAAAATGTTTTTAGTGATTTAGAGTGTCTACCTTTCCTCCAGTTTATGTCTTCAAAGCCATCTATCTCATCTAATTCAAGTAATATCATGTTGTTCTTGACCACTCTATTCCACGTCTCTCTAATTCAAGTAGTATCATATAATCTCTAACAAACATTTATGTGATCTGCTATGTATCTCTATAATCACGCCTATTGCATGAACTAGTGCACAATTTTGATGTCACCCTTTAATTACCATCACCCCCGGCACACACCCCTTTTGTTCCCGCCCCACTACACACCCTTATCTACCTTGGTTTTCTGCGTTGTATTACCACACTCTCCTACCCCTGTATCACTTTCCTGCCCCATATGTGACTTTCTTGCCCCCACGTTGTTTTCATTACTCTTGCCCAAATGCTCTACCCATTACATACTTACCCCTACCCCTTACCCTACATTCATATCCCTTACCATGTCACATCTCCACTCATTTTTGCTTCTTGGCTAGCTTCTTTTTGATCTATTGTTCCTCCAGCTTGGCTTCCTCTGCACTGGCATACTACTTAGCATGTCCAACACATTGAAAGGTCCCATCCACAAGCTGGTGAATAGAGTCCCATGACGGACTCCCAAAACCTTTCGCTTCTTTCATTAGTACATAACAATAGAAACTTTATTTCAAATTGTTTGTTGGCTTTTTCCAACCAACGTCTCAATTACATTGACGATCTCTCTCTCTCTCTCTCTCTCTCTCTCTCTCTCTCTCTCTCTCTCTCTCTCTCTCTCTCTCTCTCTCTCTCTCTCTCTCTCTCTCTCTCTCTCTCTCTCTCTCTCTCTCTCTCTCTCTCTCTCTCTCTCTCTCTCTCTCCTTTAAAACCATATTGCCATCTTATTTTCCGAATCTAAATCAAAGTCCACATTCCTCCCAGTCCTTTGTCAGTATTCTACACTAAGCACTGAGAACATGGCCCGTACCCAGGATTCTTTCAAATTATATTCATTAGTGAATAGTGATGAAGATGTATGAGCGTGTTTGGTAATTTACATTTCAAAAGTTTACATGTAAAATGATTGCATGTAAAGTTAAAGGTGGTAATTAGTTTGCACGTAAAATAGAAATACATTGTTTGACAATGTGTGTAATATACTTTTAAATAAAACTCTATTTAATCTCTTTTTTATTACGTAGTATTACTTTTCGGAACAAGAATACATACGTACAGACAACATCAAAGCGTGAAACGATACCCGTAGCAACTCATTTAATTAATTGAAGCACTTAAACTTCCCAATGTTTATCTTTTTCAATTTATAAAAAAAGATATTATAAAATAAAAAGATATAGAAGCAGCAAGTTAAAGAGCCCAGAAAAGAACAAAAAGAATGAAAGGCCACAATTTCTAGGAATCGCAGTGCAGTGTAGCGCTGCTCAAGAAGATTATGGGAGAGGAAATTTGGATTGACGCCACAAACAATAGTAAAATAATAGGGTTATATTGTAAAACTTGGAATTGGATATATTTTATACACCGTATTGACGAATGTAAAGTAGTTTACTATCTCCATCCGAGGTAAAACACTTTACATAATACAATGCAAAATGTTTTTAAAAAATACCCTACAATTTACATCAAATAATTAAAACAAATAATATAAAATGTTTACTTCCCTACACTTTGCATGCAAAGCAGTTACTTTACATTATACCAAACGAACTCTATGTTTAAAGTCCACAAATGCAGTTTTTTTATTATTACAAACTTGTGTGGTAAACAATACCCGAATGGCTGAAATGTGCAGATTTTTAAAGAAATAATTTGGATATTTTTGAAAGGGGATGTAGCTCAAATGGTAGAGCGCTCGCTTTGCATGCGAGAGGCACGGGGTTCGATCCCCCGCATCTCCATTGTTTTTGTTATGGATGCAAATGCAATTTTTTGTTTGTTTTAAAACTCATAAACTAACCACCGTTTTCTTTGACTCCATCTTGCTTTTCCTGGAGTAGTTCGACGGCTTAAAGCCATAGCAAATCTGATATTTTACTGAACAAAGATGGAAAGTCCGATCCATTGTTTTTGTTATGGATGCAAATGCAATTTTTTGTTTGTTTTAAAACTCATAAACTAACCACCGTTTTCTTTGACTCCATCTTGCTTTTCCTGGAGTAGTTCGACGGCTTAAAGCCATAGCAAATCTGATATTTTACTGAACAAAGATGGAAAGTCCGATGGCTTCAGAGCAATGCGATTCCAAGTCTAATTACCGGAAGGTGGGTGCCGAGTCGCCGAGACCGCCGTCTAATGGGGTAGGTTTTGACTTCGGCGGCAGTGACAGAAGATTCGCATATTCGCGTCAAGCATCGTTTCACCAATCTAACAGTCTATCGAAGCCTCTGCTGACGCGGAACGTTTCGAGCATCGATATACCGGATATTTACTCTAGAGATTCGCCCTACGTATTGTCCCAGGAATCAAAGATCTCTGACGAGAAATTTTCCGTTTCTTCTCTTCTTTCAGCTGTTTTAAGAGGCGTCTTATCGGGGAACAAGCCGATGAGGAGGCTGTTTGTGTTGATTTCACTTAATGTAGCTTATTCTACAGTCGAGTTATGCCTTGGGCTTTTTTCAGGCCGAGTAGGTATGGAGTTTCAATCTGTCTTGGCTCTTATTTAATTTTATAATGGCTTTGTTGTATTATGCCTAGCTCTAGCTAGAAAATCAATTATTACTCAGTATTTGGAGTTGTGCATTGTGAATTTATTATATGGCTGTTAATTGATTACCATCTTGTCTGGATTGCTGTTATATTTGTTCAGAGAATCCTTGTTTTGCTTTCAATCCAGTATAATGCTATATATGCACGCCATTGCCTCCTTAGATGTGGTGTCTTCAGTTTTATTCTATGGGTCATATTGGTTTATTCTGATGCTCATGAATGTGGGTCATGCTTTTGTATCAGGTCTGGTCTCAGATGCATTTCACTTGACATTTGGCTGTGGCCTCTTAACATTTTCATTGTTTGCAATGGCTATTTCTAGGAGAAAGCCTGATGGAACCTACACATATGGGTGAGCTTTGAAACGTGTTATGTACTTAATGGGCTGAGTTTGAAATTTGTGCAATCTGTCTCTTGCTTGATACAATGGGGTACCTGAACACATACATAGTTCTTTTGTGAGCATGAGAATGTTTGTTTTAGTATTGATGGATGCTGATTTGGTCATCACTGAAGAGAAGAAATTGTATGATTAGTTGGGGTGGGAGGGGGTGGGGGATTCAATTCCTAGTTGGCTATACATACTTGTAATTCAGTCCATGCAATTTCGACTTGTTTTTCATCATGGGTCATCTGGACACAGTCTCTCTGTGCTATAGTACATGGGTAAGGTTGCGTACATCTGACCCCTTTACCCCACCGTAGGTGGGAGCCTTTGCGGCATCGGGGTAATGTTGTTGTAGCCCAATGGTCTGATGCTTAATAAAGCATATAATACTCAGCATATGTCTAATCAATGTATCCTTTTTTAGGTACAAGAGATTAGAAGTTTTGTCTGCTTTCACTAATGCTGTAAGTACGTGAAAACCCGGACACTATTGCCCCTTTCTTGTACATGAATGAGTTTTAATTGTCATGGTGGGTAGCGCTAAATCCGCTAATAAGCTAATAGCTGGGCAATTTGTTAATTTACACTGATTTTTTGTTGTTGTTTTTGAAAGAACAAATAAACAATTGAGTACTTTGAATTTTTAAACCAGGTAATATTGATCTACCGTTCTTGGGGTACATGGAATTGCTTTATTTATTTATTCACATATTAAATAATTTAATAATATGATATTAGGATCTATGTTTAAAAGGTTAGTTTTGTAGAAAATATGATTGTGTTCTGATAGTCAGGGGCGGATCCAGAAAACTTAGTTATTGGGGGCACCATACTTACTAAATAAAAGTTTACAAATAACAACATGCATACATTAATTTAAAGAGATGTACGTCATAACGTTCTTCAAAAACAAATTACTCAAAATAGGATTAAAACATATAGCGTAGATAAAGTTCTAAATTGGGATTAGATATGTTTTCTTCGTAAAAAATGACTTATTTAATACTATTAAAAGAATAAAAGAATAAAAACTTTTCTGAATAGGGGTGCATAAATTTTATTTTGGGAAGAAAATAATACTAGTAATATTCTTATCTGAGAAAATTTGTTAGAAAAAATTTCACTAATATTACTTCTGAAAAATTGGTGGACAAAAATGTGACTTAGTAATTTTTAGTGGCTATAATTGAGTTCAAAATGACTATAATGTAGTGATTATGATGTAAACTTTGAACACAATTATAGTCACCAATAGTTACTAAGTCACATTATTGTCCATGACTTTTTTATTAGTAATAATTTCGGAAAAATCACAATTTGTTATATTTTAATCCTATTTAGAGTATTCATTACTAACAAACTATATTTTATAAATTTATTATTAACTAAGAAGGAAGTAAATATATAAACTAAATACTCCCTCCGTCCCGCTAACAATGGGACAAGATGGAGTGGCACGCAAACAAATAAAAAGTGATTTATGTGGTTGATATTGAATGATAAAGTAAGAATAAAGTAAGAATGATTTAGAGTCACAGAAACTTTGCCAAATTAGGTATGAGACAATATTAGTGGGACGGACCGAAATGATAAAACGGGACAATCTTAGCGGGACAGAGGTAGTATTTGGTTAGTCTATTTACTTAAAGTCTAACCTAACAACTTTTCTAAAATTTTATTCTTCAAACTAGGTTAACACATATCCCTAAATAAGTAAATAAATAAAATTCATATAGACGTCTGATTAAATTTTCAATCCAAGTAAACTCAATTGTATACTTTAATGATCATGACAATGTACTTAGTAACTTTAGTCATATCTCTAAAATATATCTTGTTTCAAAAATATTTATGAGTAACCTATAATTAATTAATAGACCTTACTATGAAAGTAAAGATCAGAAAATAAACTAATCTTAAATCTTAGTTAGTCGGCTGGATAATAATTGACAAATCCAATTGTTTAGTACATGTAGTTTTTGGAAAACTGTTTTGATTGTGGCTAGTTTTGCTTCACTTCTCAACCATTCTTTTTTAGGTTTTAGAAATTAGAATAATATAAGGTTTAAATGATAGTGGACTATTAAAACGTGTGGTTGTCTCTTTGCAACTTTTGAATGGTTTGTTGGGGGCACTGTATTTTGTTGTTAGGGGCACTAGTAATAATTGACAAAATTTTAAGAAAAAAAAGCCTAAAAAGCCAAATGTTATTGGGGGCAAGTGCCCCCATCGTTTAAAGGACCTGATAGTACTCTTTTATATAAATGTCTATTTTCTCAATCTGTAAATTTCACTTATAGACTATGACATTAATGAAACAAGCGAGAAAAAGAAAAAAACACATATGTATACATATATGTGTGTGTGTGTGTATATATATATAGGGAGTGGTTCTAATGAGAACACTCCTTATTGTGAGAAATGAGAACACATTCTAGCCCACCATCTCATTAAATGATTAGTCATTAAGTAACTGCTTCACAATACAATGATGGACGTCCTCACATACTAATATGTCTCATACGAACTCAAATAGGGACGAGCAACTAATAAAGGTTAATAGAGTAATTTTAAAAAAATCAATTAATGTTGCAACGTGTGGGAGGCTGCCACTTTCCAAAAAATAGGAACCAATTAAAACTCAAATCATATTCATGTTTTTAATTTATAATTGATTTATCTTTTTAAATAATAATCCAATTTTATCAAAAATTATATCAAATTAAATGATTTTTTATTATCTTTCATATGACACCAATAATGGATATATAAATGTTTTTCATTAAAAAAGTATAATATGTATACAATAAAGTGAATAAACCACATCAAACATCTCCGGCTATCACACACACCAGAACATGTAACTAACGCATAGGAACCAATATCTAATGCACACGAAAAGTAATATGTCACACGTAATTTATATATAAAGCACCAGAACAAGTATCTCAATCACAAAAAGTAGTATCTAATGCACAACAATTAATAACTAATATCGAACACATAAAGATTTCATATCATTTAAACTAGGGAAAATGGAAACTAATAATCCAACCTTTAAGCGGTCTTCTTACAATAATCCAACCTTTTGGTTATTCATGAATAATCCAACCTTTGCACCTCATCTTCATTCATTAGTCCCTGACCGGTTGATGACCTGCTATTCCAAGCTATTTTCTTATCTTTGCAAATCATTATACCATAAATCTCATCTTTCACAAAGATAATATTTTGCAAAGATAAGAAAATAACTTGGAATAGTAGGTCATTAACCGATCAGGGACCAATGAATGAAGATGAGGTGCAAAGGTTGGATTATTCATGAATAATCAAAAGGTGGGATTATTGAAAGAAGACCGCTAAAAGGTTGGATTATTAGTTTCCATTTTCCCTTTAAACTATTATATAATACACATGAACTAGTATCTACGATACAATATGTATATATGTTAGAGAACTCGTATGTGTCACATAGTATGGGCATAGAGAATCACAACAAATACATAATGCACAAGAACCGGTATCAAACACACAACCCCAAATAGTGCATTTGAGTGACACAATAGTGCAATAGTGAATTGTACGGAAGCATATGGACCATATGGTTGAGCAAAATATGCAAATGTTAAGCAGCATGTTGAACATGTGGAAACTATGAATGTGCAACTCATAGTCATTCATTGTGCAGAAAGTAAAAAACAAGTGTTCATCACTTTGATAATTACATTCGAGAAATATAAAATTGATGTAGTCGCTAGTGATTCAGAAAATGAAAACCAATATAAAAAAATAAATAAGAGTGACAACCATTTTCCTTCCTTTTATTTTGAATGAACTAACAATATTTACAATCCAAGAATACAAAATTTTTGAAGCTATTGCCAAAGAAATGTTAATAGGCAGGTTACAATATATCAAATACAAATTTAACGATAAATTGTAAATTCAATGATATTAGAAATGCAGAACTCATTTCATCTGTACTAAGTGGCGTTAATAATTTTGTTCAATCACTATAAAAAAATAAACTACAATATTTAATTTCAAATGATACGTAACGGTGAAACTTACTCGTTCAATTCCTTTCCTAAATTGGAATGCACGTATTAAGTGCAAATGTCAGTTACAAAAAATAAAGACAAAAGAATGTTACAAAATTGCCCTTGATTAATGATTCGATCATCTCAACGTAATTTGTTATTTGGATGGTTCAGATTTGTTCTCAATTCTCACGTTAAGGCTTGTTCTTATTTGAACCAAAATCTATATATATATATATATATATATATATCCATGCTTCAATATTCGGTTTGTACTTTCTTAGATCAAACCCTATGCTTATGAGCCCGTTTGGTAATTACCCAAATCGACTGCATTGGCTGTTTCCGATGAAATTAATGAAGTTTTGGTTGAAGTGGTTGGATTGCTTGATTTTGCTTATTTATGGAAAAATTATATTTTATTGATAAAATAAAGAAAAAATTATATAAAAAATAGCTAAAATGATCATGTACAGTAACTTCAGCCAATACAGCCATAAAAGTAACTTCAACCTTACTTTTTCTTATTATTACACAACTCAACGCGCGAAATTAAAAGTTACGTGTTTGGTGAAAAAGTGGACTGATAAGCCAAAAAATGAGGTCACCAAACGAGCTCTATATCTGATAGCTTGCTCCGGGTGCATGAGTTGTATACCTTTAGAATAGATTAGCATTCATTAGATTGTGCATAATAATTTTTGCAAGTCTTTCTTGGTTCTTTTACTTAATACTAACACATCACTTTCTTAATGTGATTCTTGTGTGTAGACAGCTCTTTCTATTGTTTTTGTCATTCTCCTTAGCGGTTGAAGCACTTCATGCATTCATACAAGATGAATCCGAGCACAAGTAGGCCATTTTCTCTTTATACTCAAACTTTCTGGGAGTGTTTAACTTACATTTTTCCGTTACTCTCGAGTGGAGATTTTTAAACTATGGTGAACTCACCATCTTAGCACGAGTTAGCATCTTCATGAGATGCTATATTAATCAAATCTATGCATACAATTTATCACTTTCTAATTGGGATGGTATTTTTCTCAACTAATATTGAAATTTTTGGTAAAAGGGTATCTTTTACACACACAAATGCAACCGAGCCTTGAGACTAAAAAATTTCCACATATATATTAAATACTTGAATTTGGTCAAAAGAAAAATGCAACCAGCTTCACCACATTTTTTCATGCGAATTCCCAATGATTGCTGAATTGGAATCCAAGTCATTTAGGTTTTAGGCACAAAAGAATAGCAATTGAAATAAAGTAATAAAATCAGTAATTTTGAAAAAGAATATTTATTTTTTAGAAGAATCCATAAAATATGTTTTCAGTTACAATTACTTATAAGAATCTTCAGTTACAAATCATTGTATTTATTGTCATTACTAGCTTGCGGTATTGACCCCCTAGATTATTGTATAATTATTAGAACATAGACAAGGGAATGAATCAAGCGTTCCAATTTAAAGTTTTCTCCCTTTCTAAACTTCAATATGGTATCAGAACCACAAGAGCTCTAACCGGCCTATCCTCTTGACTTCAACCCGTTATCCAGCATCCCTTCTTCCTTCTCCTCATGACTACTAACAGGAACGGAGGCGAACGCCCAGAAGACCTCCATGAGCAGGGAGACCTTGAATGCTCGCTTGTGGCCTGTGGCCAGACTTCATCCCTCTCAGCTGGTAACACTGGATGGCCTTATTAAGTTATTAGGCTCAGCCCTAACCAGTTTCCAGAAAAACAAGATGGAGGTCAAACTACCTGGTATGGCGAGACCAGTTGATGGACCTCCTGTTTGGTTCTCATCTCGATCAGTACATTGATGACAAAGCTATTCCACCTACGGATAGTGATGCAACTGGCCTTCTCCGATGGAAGAGACAGGATCGTATGCAGCACCTTGCATTTGTCTCCTCTCTCAGTCCGGCTTTGCGAACCTCTAGTTGGTCTGTTTGGAAGACACTGGAGCATCTCTATGGTAACTGGTCAGCTTCCAGAATTTGGAACCTCAAGGATTGATTCCCCCATGCTCAACAGGGGTCTCAGTTTCTCAGAGAATATCTTCATCACCTTCGAACCTTTGCAGATGAACTTGCCATGGCCGACCTACTGGTAGACGATGAAAACTTTTCACTATTGAAGCCTTGAAAGTTTTCATCCTGAGTTCGAAGCTATTGAGAACTTAATCTGTATGATCGACGATACTAGATTTGAAGAAGTCCTCGTCCATTGTCACTGCGAACTCGGCGTCTCTAGGAGAGAAGAACGGGGGCGGATCTATCGCCGTGGCTGTTTGAATAAATACGGGCCTAACTAACCATCAAAATGCTTCCATATTAGGCCTGAGCCCATTGACCCAACTTCAGAGTATATGCCCAACAGTCCCAATACCTAGAACAGAAATCACTTATTTCCTGGAAATCATCCAAGCAACAGGCAATCGTCAAATGTTCGGCATAAGGAGAGTATCAGGCTCTATCCACGACAGGCTCTATCCACAGCTGCGTCTGAAATTCTCTGGATTAAATCACTTCTTCATGAGCTATGACATCCGCCTCCTTCTCCAATCCTTCTCTGCAATAAGAAATGAAATGCCACCTCTTCACGACTTCACCAAATCCTGTCTTCCATTCTGGGATGTAAGATGTTGCAATTGATTTCCATTTTGTCCTGCAACGTGTGCAGAGTGGACTTCTTCTGTCTTTCATATCCCCTTCATGATCAGTTGGCTGCCGTTCTCACAAAGCCACTTCCACCATATCGTTTTATCCTTCTTAAAGATAAGCTCAGGATTCTTGGGAGTGATAGACTACCTGGCTTGAGGGTGTGTAGAAGAATCCAAAAAATAAGTTGTCACTTACAATTATTATTAGAATCTTCAGTTATAAATCATTGTATTTATTGTAATTACTAGCTTGCCTTATATACCCCCTCGATTATTAGACGGTGGTGTTGCTCGCGAATCATAGATTCTTTTGCAGAAGTATACCTATCCCCTCGTTCCCAGACTTATTCTCGTCCCTGGACGAGGTCTTTGACGCAAGCACTTAACAGATAACCAACTATGCTTTGGATAACCATGTGTGTTGCCGATGCTTATTATTGGATTATGAAGGGTGAATAGGTTTTCCTTTGTTTGACCGGACTGACCTATTGCTGATCGGGCTGCCTCACATTGACAGTGACCTGGTCACTTTACTGGGTCGAAACCCATTTGGGTTTTGAGAACATAGGTTACATACTTACAGGTTGTCTAACTGTTATACCTTCAATGGTCAATTGCATTTTCATAAAAGATTGAGTACTTATTTGTTCTTTTTGTTCATTTTATAGAGATCAGACCATTATCTATTTAGCGATCATATTTTCTGGTTGGGTAAGCAAGTCCCCTTAGTCTGCCTTTAAGTTGGACAGTAAATTTCAATTTCCTGAACTTCTAAAGAGGCTCCATTTTGTACACTAACAAGTTTGACCTGTCGGGATATATAATAAAATAGGTTGTGCTTCTTAAAATTTCAAAAGAATTGTAGAAAAGCACATGTTGATGGAAAAATACAATGAGCGACAAGTTTTTAATTTCTATCCAATCTCCGAGCCTGCGCCGTCCGATGGATCAGCTCGTTCTGGCATTTGTTGCTAGAAGTGCTAATGTTAATTTCACTATTACTGTTCTGGGCTTGGAGATAATGCGTGCCTAATATGCTATACTATCATGATATATCTTTTCACATCTAACAACAATGTAAATGCGAAACATTACTCGAGTACAAAATGTATTACCTGTCTCTTTTATTCTGACTGCTCAAGTAGTTCTCCACCATTTTAATCATTGCGCATCTGGATAATTAAACACCGATCTTTTGTATTTCCTGATCAACAAAGAAAGCGTTAGATACACGAAATCTCCAGTTCAATATTTTTAGTTTAAGTCCATCAAACTGCTTGTATTTAGTTTGAATGGAAGTGGCTTATATGAATGTTTTTGTGCTTACCTAATAATTGTCTATATTTATATCTATGTTGTGTGGAAGCAAGTTGTTGGCTTATTTTTCTTTTCCTTGATGCCTATATGTAGGCATTATTTGATTGTTTCTGCTGTTACCAACTTGCTGGTGAATCTCATTGGTGTCTGGTTCTTCAGAAACTATGCTCGCATTAATCTTGGTAAGCCTTATGTTAAAATTACAAGATAAATGCACTATCTTTCTAACTCTTAAGTTGATATAATTGGTCTATGAACGATGCAACAGAAAACTAGATGTTAATCTACATTTCTTTGTATGATTATACATACATCATCATCTTTTTATTGAGCTATCTTTTCTCCACATGTATAAACACTGAATAGAAGTTGCAGCTGTGTTTGGTTTAAGCTGGATATCATCTTTGCTTTCTGTAAGTGTTCTGATGGGATAGTTTTGCCAACTTAAAACAAAATATAATATGACATGTCGGTCGTTATGTGATCTAAGAGACATGTAAGGATAATTTGACATGAGAAGATGAAATTATAGCCTACTTTATTCTGTCATCTGTGACCTGTGTTTGGACTTCACTTGTAACTGTTAGTTTCTTCACACGATTAAAAATCTTATTGTTCACTTGTAGAAACCGAGGGCCCATTTTGTAAGGGTTATGTGAATGAAATGGCTGAGTATGCATTTTTAGCTGAAAAGTGTGGTAAAATCCGTTTTAGCCAAATAAGCAATAAATAAGCCTGAATTGGCTACGAAACTGAGCCAAATTAGCATCAGTGCTTTCCTTTACTTATCTGTCTGCTCTCGGAGATTCTTACTCTAATTCTGTTGCTTGTAGTTTACAGGAAGGCGGAAGATATGAATAATCATTCAGTTTGTTTGCATGTGATAGCTGATTCCATCCGGAGGTACATGATTGTGCTGACCAGCTCTTTAGAGTTTAGTTCTCTAGTGACGAATTATAAGAGAGCTTAATCTCTTAAGTTCATTCTTTTGCAGTGCAGGTTTGATCCTAGCCTCTTGGTTGTTGACATTAGGGTAAATGGCTTCTTATCCTGTTGATTATCTATTAGGATAGTTGGCTTATTCTGCTTCAGAGCAGAATAAGTAGCTTTTGACTGCTTTTGTTTGGCACAAATGGGTGATTCAGCCAAATATGCCTGACCAAATGGCCCCCAAATTTAATTGTATATGGTCTTGATGTGTGTTAGGGTGAAAAACGCTGAAGTTCTTTGTCTGGGAATAGTTTCAGCTGCGATTTTTATGGTTGTCATGCCCCTATTCAAGGCTACAGGAGGAGTTCTTCTCCAAATGGCACCTTCACACATCACCTCTTCTGCGTTGAACAAGTGCTGGAGACAGGTCAATTTGCCTTTTAATGCTCATATAGAAATTGACTCGCCTTTTTCTTCAACTTGGTTTGTTCTTCCCAGTTTTTTATTTTCTCTTATGAAAAGTTCTCTATGTGGTTAGGTTACCTCTCGTCAAGATGTTTCAGAAATCTTTCAAGCCCGTGTATGGGAAATGGTGCCGGGCCATGCCATTGGATCAATTTCACTGCAGGTACTTTTGTCTGATTTCAGTTTTGCTAGTGTGCCGCACACACCGACCAATCAGAGCACTGAATTTCTCATGGGTAAAGGTAGGATGGTAAATGAACGGAGTCAAACCAATTACCTATAAGTTCAGGTTTGGCTCATCAAATTTTAAGGCGGCTTTGAATTGACTCGAACTCGTAGAACAAACTTGGAACTCAATTCGTTGGGGAATTGTTTTAGGCTGCAAGTGTATAGTTCCTCTAAGATGTTAAAGTTTGATACGTTACGCAATAAAAGAGGCGATCTTTTTCAAGCATATGAACTAGCTCTCCTATTACATATTTTGTTTTGGTTAACTCTTTTATTTACGAACTTGAAATGAATTGCATTTTGTTGTGTGTGTGTGCAGATGAAGAAGGGAATGGATGATCGGGCGGTGCTCCAATATGTTCGCTACTTATACCATGATCTTGGAGTCCAAGATTTAACCGTACAAATTGATTATGCTTGACAATGTATATATAGTACATACATACAAATTGTGATTAATCAATTTTCACGGAGTTCACATATTTTAACTTTTAAACAATCGATCGAGATTCTAAAGTATATGTTTGGCTTTATTTCCTGATATTATTCTAGACAGTACACATTATGCTCTTCATTGCCATTGAATTACTTCTCGGTCAATAATTCCATTGAAGTATCAATTTTTACCCCCATTATATGCTTGATTATAAATTCATCATTAAAGGCGAACATGGTTCGAAACTTGACCCAACTGAGAACCGAACTTGGACATGGTTGCCAACAAGTTGCATTTTCTATATTTCACTCTTATGACTAAACTTCAAGAATAGAAGGTCTTCTTTTAATAGTCCGACCTTTTCGTTATTCATGAATAATCCAACCTTTGCACCTCATCTTCATTCATTGGTCCCCGACCGGTTGATGACCTGCTATTCCGAGTTATTTTCTTATCTCTGCAAACTATTATACCATAAATTCCACCTTTCACAAAGATAAAATTTTGCAAAGATAAGAAAATAATTTGGAATAGCAGGTCATCAACCGGTCAGGGACCAATGAATGGAGATGAGGTGCAAAGGTTAGATTATTCATGAATAACGAAATGGTGTGACTGTTAAAAGAAGACCGCTAAAAGGTTGGATTATTAGTTTCCATTTTCCCGAATATTAAATGGTGGAGAAAGACTGAGAGACATGTCTATTTATTAGTGCTTTGCTTTATGGGTTTATATCAAGCAACATTTTATGATGTCATCATCCGAAGTAGGAGTTGTACTTGTACTAGTAAGGTATAGTAAAATATTTTGAATTAAGAAAGTAAGACCTAAATAACATGTGAATATAAGGATCGGGTGATGCACTTTAAGTGTATCTTGAAGCACTGCAACACAACTTATACTCTACAGTCTACACATTTAGGATGTTTTTAGTTTGGACTGAAGTTTTCTGGTCTGGTCTAGTCTGAATTGGCCTGGTCCAGCAATGTCTAGTCTTTGTGTATTTTAGAACTGTCAAAGACTGGTCTAGTTTAATCTGAACTGGTCCAGTTTGATTTAATTTGAACTGGTTTGATCTGGTCTGAAATTGAAATAAATTCAAGCAAAAGCATAAGTATTTGCCCTAAATAAGACTAAAATAATAGAAAAGTTCCTAAATAGGACTACTCCCTAATTTATTCCCTAAATAGGACTCTTTTAATGAGTCAGCGTTGCCTATTCCTAAAATACCCCTGTGCATACTTAAAACACAAAACAAACTCCTGCACCTGCTCTGTCTTTATTCTATTCGTAGATGTGAGAGTTCCATTCGATCATCTTGTTCGTTATTCTTCAACGTACCTCAACTGTCGTTCGTTGTTCTCATCAGTTCGTTTGCTTTCATTGTTTCTTGGCAATTTTGAAGATCGTCTACTCGCTTCTAAGCTCTGTAGTAAGTTTATTTTTAATTTCGGAAAATTCTCAATATTCTTCTTCAATCCTTGATCAATTTACGTTTGCATGAAATTTGATTTGATATCCATAATTCCGTTGTTTTTATTTAGTTATTTAAATATACATATTCGTAATGCAATTCCTGTTTTAATGCATCATTGATCTCATTTGCGCTTGTATTTGATCAATGCTTCAATGTTTATACTTTTGTCTTATTGTGTAATTGTGTTTTCCGAAATCTGTTGCTGTTATTTAGGTAATTGAGAATACAAATTCGTAGTTGATTTTCAGTTTCTACTTCATCACTTATAAGATCTTCCCTTCTATTTTCTATGCATTTTCTTCCTTATTTTATGTATCCATGTAGTTAGTCTCTGCAAATTTCTCCTTTTGTCATTTATACTATTTCGTTTGTGGACTCTAATTAAACACATAATTCGTTTTTGCAGTATGGTCATTGTGGTTTAGTGTTTCTGTTTTTAGTTACACTTTGACTATTATGTTACATGTATGCTGATAGTCACTATTGCCATGCCTTTTACTTTTAATGTCATCTGGTATGTTTTATCTTGTATATTGCTTTTGAGTTATTTGTTGTTACACAACTTCTTACATGTTACTTTTTCATTTTATACAATTACATTTTCATATGGATACAATTTTGCTGCTCATGGTCAAACTGGATGGTATATGGTTGTTTAATTGCACTTTTATACATAGAGATGTGTGTGGTATTCAAATTCGTTCAAATGCATCATATGCGTCTTTTATACAAAGCATGAGTGAAATTTTACATCTGTACAAACCAGACCATTCTTTTATAATTTCTTATATTGTTGATGGTTGTCAACCGCCAGTTCGTATTCATGATGATGACACCTTCAAATTCTATCTTCATCTCAGAGTTCTTCACACTGATTTTGAGAAGTTTCCTCTTTGTATTGAGTTTGCTACTAATGAAGTTGTTGATGCTTCCTTACTTCTCCACAAATCAATTCCTCATGGTAATAATTCAAAAGTTTATTCTTCCTTTTCTGAACCTTTTACTGAATCTTGTATTGATGTTTCTGATCATGAGGATGTGCACAACCTTGAACCAGATGATGATGTTTCATCATCTGAGTTTTCTGATCTTCTAGAAACTTCATTTTCTATGTCTTCTTCTGTTAGTTCGAAATTGTCTTCAGCTAAAAGTTTTTCCCTTCACCATAATGTTGAGATCATTACACATCATCATCCCACTTGTCTGATTCGTCTTGCCATATATAAAGACAAGGCTGCTCTTATCCACTTGAAAATGTATGCGATCAATAACAGTTTTCAATATAGAACCCTTATATCAAAGAAAAAATGCCTTCATGTCATATGTAAGGATAAAAAAAATGCAAATGGACCGTGCGCGCAGTTAGATTATCTGAAGTGAATATGTTTCAAATTAGAAGGTATTCAAAATTTTCATTACTTTGACTTTATATATTTGTCATATATTGACATATGTTTAGTTTAAATTCCATGTTTGTTTGATGGCAGTATTCTCTGTGATGCATTTCAGGTTTCGTCCTGAACATACTTGTTTTGTTGACTGCACACAAGGTAATCACATGCAAGCTACAACAGATATCATTGCAGATATGGTTGCGTACAAATATCTATATGCTTCAGAAAACCCTATACTCCCAAGCAGTTACGCAATGATATGGCTTTGCAATATGGTATAAGAAAGCTTGGAAAGCGCAAAGAACTTCTATGGAAAAGCAGTTTGGCTCAGATGCAGTTTCGTACCAACTTTTACCATCCATGGCTCACATGCTTGACCATTCAAACCGTGGATCTTTAATAAGTCTTGTTAGAGGTGCTGCTGACACGTTTCAGTCATTTTTCTTTTCTCTCACATCGTGGACTGATGCTTGGCAGGTTTGTAGACCCGTGTTAATCGTGGATGGCTCATTTATGAAGGCTTACTACAAAGGAACGTTGCTAACAACGTGTGGTCAAGATGCAAATAGGCATATTGTTCCTTTGGCTTTCGGCATTTGTGATTCTGAATCCACAGCTTCTTGGAAATGGTTTTTGATGAAGTTGCGTGATACTATTAAGTACCGTCATGACTTATATATTGTTTCAGATCGCCATAAAGGACTTATGAAAGTTGCATCCGAAATTTTTCCACATGCTATTCATGGTTTCTGTGTGGAACACCTTAGGCGTAATCTTATTCATATATTCAGAGGTTTTGGTGATGGCCTTGGGTTGAAGTTTAAGGCTGCTTTAATGGCTGCCACTATTCCAGAATTTGAAGAATACCTAGCTATGTTAGATTCTGATAATGCCAAGATTTGTCCGTGGTTAGATAAGATTGGGAGTCATAGATGGGCTAGGTGTATGGCTGGTCCAAGAAGATTTGGTGTGCTTACCTCTAATTGTGCCGAGTCACTGAATAAGGTTAATGTTACGGCCAGAGAGTATTCTATATCTAAGCTCATTGACATCTTACGTCAACACATGCAAAAGTGGTTCACAGAAAGAAGTGAAAAGGCTCCTAAAAAAACTACCATTTTGTCCAGTAAATGTGAAAAACATTTAGTGGCATTGCAATATGCATCTATCTACACACATGCAAATATTACTTTTATATATTCTGGGAATTTAATGTGTACCTTAAGGCCATGTTCTTTGTCGTTAATGTCATTTAGTGCTTTCATATTTACTTGTTATCCCATGTTGTTGTTGTGTACTGTTTACTAATCATATTTTATAATGACTATTCTAACACTTTTTCACGTTCCAGCCTTCAGCCTTCTAGCTGAAGGCTGAACATCAGCATTTAGCGGTCTTCTTACAACTACTTTCCATTCCTAAGTGGAAATGTGAACACGTGGGGAGTCTGATTTTAGAGTAAAATGACATGGGAGGTCTAAGAGCACCCTTAGTACCTCCACATCCCACTAGACAAAGGAACTTACTAGACAAAGGAACTTGAGTGCAAAGACTTGTTGGGGAGGACCATCATGAGGGGAGTCTGATTTGAGAGTAAAATGACATGGCATGGACCTCATTCTTACATAATTGGTGAGACATGGTGGAGAATCATCCACATCCCACTCATCCCACTCCACACAAAATGAATAGCCTTTAGGGAGGTCTAAGAGCACCCTTAGTACCTCCCAATCGAACTCTCAAAGCTTAGAGAAGAAGATAGCTACACAAAAGCAAGGAGAGCAAGAAAACAGTAAATTGTCCGCAGAATTCGGAACAGTGTGTAGGGCTGATTGTTCACCCCATATCTCGAGCTTCACTTGTCCAAATTAGGCGTGTGAAGTGTCAAAAGAAATACTCCCTCCGTCCCGCTATGATTGTCTCATTTTACCTTTTCGGTCCGTCCCACTAAGATTGTCTCATACCTTATTTGGTAAAGTTTGTGTGGTTCTAAATCATTTCTACTTTATTCTTACTTTATCAATTCAATATCAATCACATAAACCCACTTTTATTAACAACCGTGCCACCTTCTCTTGTCCCAAACTTAGGGGGACGGAGGTAGTATCTCAAAATGAGGATTCTGGGAAGGTGCATATCGCAACGATCGGAGTTGCGGAAGGTCTCCAAATTGTCGTAGACAAACATAAACCCGCAGAATGATTTTTCTTCTCTAAAGTGAGTTGAATCCAAAACCTTTCTTTTCTTTATCTAAATCATATGAACGATTGAGGAGACTATTCTACCCCATTTCAAGTGTAGAATATGTCCTTGACAAGATAAAT